GAGAGAGAAGAAAACACAACAGGGAAAAGGGAGAGTTCGCAGAAATGAACAAAAACAGAGTTCTTGTAGAAGGTGTCCCTTTCATCACCCGCCATGCAGGCTTCATGTAATTGATGATGTCTCTCAGTCTTATTTTCATAAGAAGTTTTTTTTTTTCAGCTTAAGAATGATCAAAGTATTTATGCAGTGGTACTTACAACTGTACCTTTTGAGGTAACAAGAAAAGCTGAAGCTTTAAACATGGCAGCAACGAAAGAATCCTCACTACTCATCTTGGAATCCACTAACTGTTTGTTTAACATAGCTGATAAAGCCATATTTGCATCTTGATCATTGGATGATTGACAGACCAACAGTTCTCTCATGCCCATAACCTGAAAAAAATGGTTAGATTACAACATCGTGTATCTTTCAAAAAATCTTTAAACAGTTAATTCCATGAATGCCTATTCTTGACCTTGAAATTGAAAATTAAAAAAAAAACTCTAGTCTCAAAGGTCTCAAAAGGTCTTGAAAATTCAAGTCTCAAAAGGACTCCGACCCTTTTTTTTAAATTTCCTTTCCTTCCTTTTCCTCCTGAGAACACATATCCCTAGTGATATGTGTTCCAAAATAGGGCAACACATATCACTAGTGCTTTGTGTTCCCCCACCTGGGAAACACATATCCCTACTGATATGTGTTCCTCCACCTGGAAAACACATATCCCTAGTGATATGTGTTCCCCCACCTGGGAAACACATATCCCTAGTGATATGTGTTCCCCCACCTGGGAAACACATATCCCTAGTGATATGTGTTCCCCCACCTGGAAAACACATATCCCTAGTGATATGTGTTCCCGCCCCTGGGAAACACATATCCGTAGTGATATGTGTTCCCCCACCTGGGAAACACATATCCCTAGCGATATGTGTTCCCCCACCTGGAAAACACATATCCCTAGCGATATGTGTTCCCCCACCTGAAAAACACATATCCCTAGTGATATGTGTTCCCCTACCTGGGAAACACATATCCCTAGTGATATGTGATCCCCCACCTGAGGAAACACATATCCCTACTGATTTGTGTTCCCCCACCTGGGAAACACATATCCCTAGTGATATGTGTTCCCTGACCTGGTAAACACATAACCCTAGTGATATGTGTTCCCCACCTGGGAAACACATATCCCTAGTGATATGTGTTCCCCCACCAAGAAAACACGTATCCCTAGTAATATGTGTTCCCCCACCTGGGAAACACATATTCCTAGTGATATGTGTTCCCCTACTTGGGAAACACATATCCCTTGTGATATCTGTTCCCCCACCTGGGAAACACATATCCCTAGTGATATGTGTTCCCCCACCTGGGAAACACGTATCCCTAGTGATATGTGTTCCCCACCTGGGAAACACATATCCCTAGTGATATGTGTTCCCCCACCTGGGAAACACATATCCCTAGTGATATGTGTTCCCCCACCTGGTAAACACATATTCCTAGTGATATGTGTTCCCCCATCTAAGAAACACATATCCCTAGTGATATTTGTTCCCCCACCTGGGAAACACGTATCCCTAGTGATATGTGTTTCCCTACCTGGAAAACACATATCCCTAGCGATATGTGTTCCCCCACCTGAAAAACATGTATCCCTAGTTATATGTGTTCCCTTACCTGGGAAACACGTATCCCTAGTGATATGTGTTCCCCTACCTGGGAAACACATATCCCTAGTGATATGTGTTCCGCCACCTGGCAAACACATATCTCTAGTGATATGTGTTCCCCCACCTGGGAAACACATATCCCTAGTGATATGTGTTCCCCCACCTAGGAAACGCATATCCCTAGTGATATGTGTTCCCCCACCTGGGAAACATATCCCTAGTGATATGTGTTCCCCTACCTGGGAAACGCATATGCCTAGTGATATGTGTTCCCCCACCTGGGAAACACATATCCCTAGTGATATGTGTTCCCCCACCTAGAAAACACATATCCCTAGTGATATGTGTTCCCCTACCTCGGAAACACATATCCCTAGTGATATGTGTTCCCCCACCTGGGAAACACATATCCCTAGTGATATGTGATCCCCCACCTGGAAAACACGTATCCGTAGTGATATGTGTTTCCCCACCTGGGAAACACATATCCCTAGTGATATGTGTTCCCCTACCTGGGAAACACATATCCCTAGTGATATGTGTTCCCCTACCTCGGAAACACATATCCCTAGTGATATGTGTTCCCCCACCTAGGAAACACATATCCCTAGTGATATGTGATCCCCCACCTGGAAAACACGTATCCGTAGTGATATGTGTTTCCCCACCTGGGAAACACATATCCCTAGTGATATGTGTTCCCCCACCTGGGAAACACATATCCCTAGTGATATGTGTTCCCCCACCTGGGAAACACATATCCCTAGTGATATGTGTTCCCCCACCTGGGAAACACATATCCCTAGTGATATGTGTTCCCCCACCTGGGAAACACATATCCCTAGTGATATGTGTTCCCCCACCTGGGAAACACATATCCCTAGTGATATGTGTTCCCCCACCTGGGAAACACATACCCCTAGTGATATGTGTTCCCCCACCTGGGAAACACATATCCCTAGTGATATGTGTTCCCCCACCTGGGAAACACGTATCCCTAGTAATATGTGTTCCCCCACCTGGGAAACACGTATCCTTAGTGATATGTGTTCCCCCACCTGGGAAACACATATCCCTAGTGATATGTGTTCCCCCATCTGGGAAACACGTATCCCTATTAATATGTGTTCCCCCACCTGGGAAACACGTATCCTTAGTGATATGTGCTCCCTCACCTGGGAAACACATACCATTAGCAATATGGGTATTCCGGGTAGGGGAACACATATCACTAGGAATTGTTCCTGGGTAGGAAAAACACATTCCGCTAGGGATATGTGTTAGAGAGAACACATATTACTGTGACATGACAGTGATATATGTTGGCCTCCTTATATGTGTTCCCCAGAACACATATCGCTAGCGATACATGGAAACACATATCCCTGGTGATATGTGTTCCCCTACCCAGGAAAGACATATCACTAGTGATATGTGGTTTCTGGCTTGGGGAACACACTCCACACTAGTGAGTTGTGTACCCGGGTAGGGGAACACATACTTGAGACTAAGCAAAGAGTAAATGTCATAAAATGGCCCCTACATATAATAATTATATGTAGGGGCCATTTAGGGTTAGTCAAGACCTGGGTGTCAAGACCTGGGTGTTTGGATAAGGAGTAATATTTAAAGGAGAAAATAGATACATTAGTTACTGCTTACCCAGCCTCGGAGGTGCAGTAGGGCACTTTAATTTGAGGTAAATGACTATAAGAGTTTACCTCTCCTAAATAGCGATTCCTAAAAGTGAGTCCAGATACGAGTTGAGAAGAGTCTTGTTTGACGCAGTTGGGTCGCTTGTCCAGGAAAACCCCACTTACAGCCACAGAAGAGGGGTTCAGGCCAGCAAACCGTAAGACATTCTCTGTGGCTAGTGACAGGCCAGTGTGATGGGAGATTCCCTGTGATGCATTTTTCAGTTTCATGATGTAATCCTGGGTACGATGAAAGAAAAGTCAATATTTCAATCTAAAATGACTGCTCAGAATGTCTCAATTCAAAACTATGTATGATCACAAGAGATATAAATGACGTTTGTGATTGGTTTTAGAGAAGAAAACAAGGGCTAAAACGATGCCGCCACCCCAATAACAACAGGAGCTGCAGTATTTACTATATTATAATATTATCATCATCGGAACTAAAACATATAAAACTAGAAGACTAGAAGAGGTGCACAGGGCTCAAAAAAATTTCCATCCAGTAGCCTGGGACAAGTAGATTTTCTTGCTGGGAAGGAACATTATTTTAAAGTTTACTTGCCTCATAGGCAAAGTTCCAGGCAAATCATCCTCTAACAAAATCATTAACTAAGATGAGCCAGAAGCGGCTCCTGGCAAGCAAAATAAGAGAGCTGCTTATCCAAAGGACAATTAGCTGGAATTCAACTTTTCTGTGATGTATGTCCTCAGCTAGTATGAGCCAAATAGAGTCATCTTGCTACAGATGCATATGTGTTTAATTTGTCTGAAGACATCTCTACTAACCTGAAGTAAAGACCTTGTTGTTTCTGGAGCCCATTTGATGGCCTCCATGATGATTCCACTGCACCGATCAGCAAAATCCCTGACAGTTCCCTCGCGACCATCCATTTCCTCAGAGACCGTCAGCCTGAATGGTACAGAACTGGGTACGTTGATCTCAATTGTCTGGTGGTTCTCATTCTAAATCAGAAAATATACATTTCATAGTGTTAGAAATCAGAAACAAGGTCTCTCCAACCATCTTTAACCCCAATACTACACATATGAATTCATCACACTGAACTCTACACATTTCCTTACAAAATTAGTTGAGAGAATAAAGCATTAATTTTTCTTTAGGCAATCATTTTGTCAATTCTCATAACCTCTTCTCTTGGTTGAGTAATCTGTATGGTCTGCTGATTTCCAGAATTAACTATAGCCTCCTAAGCAATAGAATACTAAAGTGTGACGTCATAAAAATGAAATGTCTGAAATTATGGGATTTGTCAGGATGTTCTGAAAGAACAATGTCCAAGAGGCCTACTTACCAAAAATGAACATTTCAGGGAAAATTGTCCCTGAGATCGTAGCCCAGTTATGCTAAGAAAACTCCATACAAACCCTTCTAAACTTTTTTGGGTCAACCCAAAAAAAATTAGAAGGGTTTGTAGGGAGTTTTCTGAGTATAACCGGCTAACATCTCAGAGACAATTTGCCCCAAAATGCTCATTTTTGGTAAGTAGGCCTCTTGGACATTGTTCTTTCAGAATATCCTGACAAATCCCATAATTTCAGAAATTTCATTTTTATGACATCACACTTTAGTACTCTATTGCTTAGGAGGCTATAGAGTTTTCTGAGTATAATGGCCTTACATCTCAGAGACAATTTGCCCCGAAATGCTCATTTTTGGTAAGTAGGCCTCTTGGACATTGTTCTTTCAGAATATCCTGACAAATCCCATAATTTCAGAAATTTCATTTTTATGAAGTCATCACTTTAGTACTCAATGAGGAAACAGAAAGTGTGTATAATGTTTAATAATGTCTTTATCATTACAAGGAGATAGCATTGCATGAGTACTGACTGGATGATTGAGGCACTGGGAGAGTTCTTGAAGCAAATCCAGCATGAAGTGTAATACTCTTCCATTCCATAGAAGATGGGGAAACCTAAAATCATACATTAAAAAAGAAGAAAGACAAAGTCACTGATTATTACCCAAGTAAATATTAAAACTGTGAAAGGTTTGAACCCAGGAGTCATTTCAAAAGTAGGTTGAGTTTGATCGTCCAGGTGAACGTAGTCCTGAATAGGACTGTTGTTGTTGACAGTGACTGTTAACAACAACTGTCAACAACTGTCAACAACAACAGTCCTATTCAGGACTACGTTCACCTGGACGATCAAACTCAACCTACTTTTCAAGTAAACATTGTTGAAAGCATGGTGGCAGAGCATGCAGCTAGCATTTTTTTCCCGAAATATTTTAGGGGCTTGAGAGAGCATTTACCTCAAAGCAAGTTAACAAGATTAACCATCTACACACAGTCAAAACTAGTCACTCTTTTCTATGCCCTTACTTGTCAACAAAGGATGAGAGATACTTGTCAGCAACACGTCTGATCCTTTTCTGCAGATGATTGAACTTGACAAGCAAAAACTGTGCATGTGTCTCTAATTCATCTTCCCTCTTGGTTGTCCTTGGTTTGTTTGACATGACATCAAGAAACACAGAGAAAACTTTGTCCCCAACAGCAGAAATACACTGCCACATTCCTTGAACAATCATGGGGGAAAAGTATTAAAGGACAACTTATAAAAGTGTGGACAATTACTTTAAAATAATATAAATAATAGTCCTTTCCTGACTCTACATTTTCTACGTAAATATAAACTGTTACCGAGAAGGGACAAGTAAAAAGCACACAAAAGAAAATCCTAACCTATTTAATTAAACAGTAATACCAGCAAATTTTGATTTATCATAATACAGTGTAAAAATGGGTAAACGGTAATAATAAAAAAAAGTTCTTCCTTACCAGCTTTATCCTTTTCAATGGCTTTGTCCTCTAAATAGTCAAAGATGGAATAAAATTTGCCAGGATCAGATGATACCCGTAGAGATTCCAACCGATAAACAGACAACAGGTATGTACACTGTCCAAAATTCAGTCTGTTCACCAGTGTAATGATCTCGGCAGGATTACTCAGAGCTTCCAGCAGAGAAGTGCGGACCTCATTTAATTCAGCCTGCAAAAACAGTTAACACGCATCAACTTACAAAAAAAAATGTCAACTGTCTAGTAATGATAAAAGAACCGTGTGGCACGAAACTTTTGCAGGAGTTTATTTTTGCGGATTAGGGATTTTTTGTGTTTTGCGAGAACTAATTTTTGCGATTAGGACAGATTGGTTTTTCTTTCTGGGAATTATTTTTTGTGATTTTCAGAAAGTACCCAGTACCCAGCATTGATAATATTTTTGTTTTTATTGAGTACGTGCAATAGAAATACATATTTTCAAGTTGTGATTGAACAGACACGATTTCTTAGTACTGTATTTTTGTATAGCGAATTTAAGTAAGAAAATTTACCCTGGAGTAAATTTTTGTGGGAAAAATGTTTGTGGCAATTTTTATTTGCGGGAATTTATTTTTGTGGATCGCTGGAAAAACTGCAAAAATCGCAAAAATTAGAACAGGTAAAAACTAACATTTGACCGTGAGAAGCTCTACTGTGTGGCACGCAATTTTTAGTCAAATATTAGTCTAACAAGCCCAAGGCTGACAAAATTAGGAGCTGCTGGGCCAGAAGGGTAGGAAGAAGCAGATGCTTTACTTGGTTGAGGCCACTCTACAGAAAAAATTAGGTATGTGCTGTTTAATATCATAAGTCAGCTATGCTGTTACTGATCAGTACATGTATGGCAGTAAAGCTGATGATGACAATGATGATGATGATGATGATGATGATGATGATGATGATGATAGTTAGATGATGCTGGTGATTGGATTGCCTCCTTGGAACACCTTTTTTATTGAGGATTCTATCTCCAGCTTTTCAGTTTTCCACTGCGTAAATGGGTTTGGGTTGGGTTGTGGTGGAGTAAAGTTACAAAATGAACATCTGTTATGATTTCATTTACTTTACTTTTCTCTTTTAACAGCTGTATTTCTAGAGCAAACAGGTTCCTTAAAGTATCCATGGTAGCCAATCAGGAACACAATAAATTACTGATATATATTATAACAATATCACTTACAGGATTCACAGAGTCATTCCTCAAAGCTGAATTGTACATCAGTTCTGATCTCAAATGGCCTGTGCCAAGGAGTAAAGGTGATTTTGATGCGATCTGACACACTCCCTCATACCACTCGTGTGGCCACAGACCGGAACCTTCGACACCAAAACCCATGACAACACAGTAAAGCCAGAAGTCACGGAATAACTTATGCAGGCGAGGCTTGGGGTCAGTAATGACAGGGAGTCGCTGCATTACAATGGAGATGACGGGGATAAGGACACCAAGGTTACCAGCACTGGATGAAGCCTAGAAGGATAAAATAGGCAATGATCAGCTAGAAATGGTTTGACAAAATGCCTTTTGA